GGGTGAGAACCCCCCAAAATTGGGGAGAGACACCCCCAAAATTGGGGTGAGAACCCCCCAAAATTGGGGTGAGTACCCCAAAATTGGGGTGAAACACCCCCAGATTGGGATATGGGTGTTGGGAAGGAGATGGAGACCCCAAAAGTGGGGAAGGGGACCCCCAAATTGGGCACAAACCACCCCAAATTGGGAAATGGGTGTTGGGAAGGGAATGGAGACCCCAAAAGTGAAAGGAGCACCCCAAAAAGGGAGGGAGACCCTAAAAATGGAAAGAAATCCTAAAAAGGCAAGGAAAACCCCAAATGAGATAAGAGAACCCCAAAATGAGGAAGGAACCCCCCAAAATTGGGAAAGGGGACCCCAAATTGGGCACAAACCACCCCAAATTGGGAAATGGGTGTTGGGAAGGGAATGGAGACCCCAAAAATGGAGAAGGGGACCCCAAAAAGGCCAAGAATCCCCCCAAACTGGGGAAGGAGCCCCCCAAAATTGGAAGGAGCCCCCCAAAAATAGGGAAGGAGGTTTCCAACAGGGGAAATTGGGGAAGCGAACCCCAAAACGGGATGGAAACCCTAAAAAGGGAAGAAATCCCACAAATAGGGAAGGAGGCCCTAAAATGGGGAAAAAAACCCCAAAAATGGGGAAGAAGAGGCTGAAACTGGGAAAGGGACCCCAAAATGGGGACAGGGACCCCAAAATGGACACAGGGACCCCAAAATGGGGAGGGGACCCCAAAATGGGGAGGGGACCCACCAATGATGGCCACCACGTCTGCCAGCATGTGGCCCTGGGACATCCTGTCCAACCCGGCCTGGGGAACAGCAATTAACAGCTAATTAGCACCTAATTAATGGCTAATTAACCTACAGAGAAGCCTCACCTATGAGGACCCCCCAGTTAACCCCCAATTAATTCAAGGTGACCCCTAATTAATCTCTCATTAATCACCAATTGAGCCATGGGAACCACCCCAGGAGCCCCCAATTAACCCCTAATTAATTCCCAAGAACCCCCAATTAACCAACCCTCAGGGACCCCCAATTAACCCCTAATTAACCCATGGGAACTACCCCAGGATCCCCCAATTAACCCCCAATTAATTCCCAGGGACCACCAATTAATAAACACACAGGGACTCCCAATTAATCCCTAATTAAACCCCAGGAACCTTCAATTAACCAACCCCAGGGACTCCTAATTAATCCCTAATTAACTCCCAGAAACCCCCAATTAATCCATGGGGAACCTCCAATTAACCAACCCCAGGGACCCCCCAATTAACCCCTAATTAACACCCAGGACCCTCCCCCAATTAACCAACCCCCCAATTAACCCCTAATTAACACCCAGGACCCTCCCCCAATTAACCAACCCCCAATTAACCTCTAATTAACTGCCAGGGACCCCCAATTAACCCTCAATACCCAATTAACCTGCAGGCACTAATTACCCTCCGGACCCCGCAGTGGCCCCTGTCCCCAACCCCCTGAGCCCTCGGTGTGCCCAGGTGTCCATAAGTGTATCCCAGGTGTGCCAAGGTGAGCCCAGGTGTGCCCTGGATGTCCCCAGGTGTGCCCAGGTGTGATCCAGGTGTGCCAAGGTGGTGCCCAGGTATGATCCAGGTGAGCCCAGGTGTGCCCAGGTGTCCATAAGTGTATCCCAGGTGTGCCAAGGTGTGATCCAGGTGTGCCCAGGTGTCAATAAGTGTATCCCAGGTGTGCCCAGGTGTGCTCCAGGTGTGATCCAGGTGTGCCCAGGTGTGATCAAGGTGTCCCCAAGTGTGCCCTGGATGTCCCCAGGTGTGCCCAGGTGTCCATAAGTGTATCCCAGGTGTGCCAAGGTGTGCCCAGGTGTCCCCAAGTGTCCATAAGTGTATCCCAGGTGTGCCCAGGTGTGCCAAGGTGTGACCCAGGTGTGCCCCGAATGTCCCCAGGTGTGCCAAGGTGTGATCCAGGTGTGTCCATAAGTGTATCCCAGGTGTGCCCAGGTGTCCCCAAGGTGTGCCCCAGTGCTGCCCAATGTCCCCCAGGTGTCCCCAAGGTGTCTCCCGTCTGCCCCCAGGTGTGTCCCAGCTGTTCCCAAGTGTCCCCAGCTGTCCCCAAGGTGTCCCCCATCTGTCCCCAGGTATATCCCAGGTGTGCCCCAATGTCCCCCCAGGTATCCACAGATGTCCTCCAGGTGTGCCCAAGTGTCCCCCAGATGTCCCCAGGTATCTGCCACGTGTGCCCAGCTGTCCCCAAGGTGTCTCCCATCTATCCCCAGCTGTCCCCAGGTGTCCCCAAGGTGTCCCCAGGTGTCCCCAAGGTGTCTCCCGTCTGTCCCCAGGTGTGTCCCAGCTGTCCCCAAGTGTCCCCAAGGTGTCTCCCGTGTGTCCCAGCTGTTCCCAGGTGTATCCCAGGTGTGCCCCAATGTCCCCCAGGTGTCCCCAGGTATCTGCCACGTGTGCCCATCTATCCCCAGGTGTCCCCAAGTGTCCCCAGGTGTCCCCAGGTGTCCCCAGCTGTCCCCAGGTGTCCCCAAGGTGTCCCCAAAGTGTCTCCCATCTATCCCCAGGTGTCCCCAGGTGTCCCCAAGGTGTCCCCAGGTGTCCCCAGCCGTACCAGGTGAGCGAATCCGGGCGCTTTGATCTTGC